GCCATGACATGAAGCAATTATGAAATTATTTGCATGATTCATGTATGAGCAGTCTTATTGGATGACGTTAGAATTCACTGTAACAGTTACTAATGCATTAAGAAAAGAGATTGATACTCTTCTGAAACATTATGGACAGGTTAGAAATCAGATATATGGAATAAAGAATTTTTTTCATGAAAGTTTGACTTTATTTTCAACTAATTCCAAAAGAAAATTATTTAGATATGGTGAAAGGTTAAAGAGAAATGCCATGCATGCAACATATTCTCTGTATTCCACAGCCATTGAATGTTACTGAAGACGTTTAACAAAAAGTTTCAGTGTAGCTCAAGCAAAATTTACACGCAATTTGACATTTTGACATTTTTAAACTAACTTTAAGTTTAGCCCTTTTTCATGGTGTGTACCATTTTGTTGCCTTGTTTTTACCTCAGAAACATGCTTTGATGAAAGACACGTGGCATTTCTTACCAGTATCCTGCATTTAAAGATGTAAACAATTTTTTTAACCACATTTAGAACTTTTCCTGTTGCTGGTTCTTTTTTAAGAAGGCAAAACATGTTCAACGTAAGGCACCTAACAATAACTGACTGTGTCTTCTCTTTTGTAAAATTGTTAAAATGGATTTGGACCATAAAACACATGAAACCAAAACAAACAGTTGAAAAAGGCATGCTGTGGAGGTGTCCATTTCACTGGCACAGAGCTGGAGACACAATAGAACTGATCAGAAACAACCACAGCATTTATTACAAAGCCTCATGTATCCTCATTTTGGGGGCAAGTAGAGCCCCTTTTGCATCCAGTATTAGAGCGCATTCAGAGCAAGTTGATCTGCAGACTAAATATCACTGATCCACATAAAAGTGATGCTGCTAATTTCCTGATGGTCTCCTTGTCTCCACATGCTCCGTCGCTGCAAAAACCTACGAATTAAAACTTGTAGCTGAGATTTAATCCGTTTAATGGCACATGCATGTGGAGGTGGGGAGACCATCAGGAGATTAGGGCAGCATTTTTTTAGTGGGGTCAGCCATATTTAATCGACGGATCAGTCCATGTTAGCATGCTGTACTCGGAAGCAAGAGGTTCCAGGTCCAATCCCCAGTATAGAGCCCTTTTCAAAAAAAAAAAAAAAAAGAAAGAAAGAAAACTGGACCCGTTTGAGAGATCCTGATATGTTAAAACACTACAGGGGGTTTTACTCACTAAGACCCCATTCCCAGAGATTAGATCGATCCAACTAGATGGACCTAACTCCCTGGGGGTTCACGCTAAATAGCTGTCAGTCGAGCGGGCACAAAAGTTAATTACCCCCTTACAGCTTGTAGTAGGCGGGATGGACATTTAAGCTGGATTATCTGACAGTAATCTAGTGAGACTCCCCACTGGGATAGATCGATCTAAAATCTATGGGAATGCGCCCTTACATACGTTTGCTTCCCCAGGTGTTTAGCCACACATACTTATCTTATCACTGCGCATCTTTAATAGAAGGCTGAAGTTTTATTAAAACTACATCAATGAGTCGGTCATGTGATAAAGATCTTTTCATAAAGGGTGGAGACATGATGACCCATTGGTAAAATTTTTTGAAATTTATTTTCTTAGAAACAGTTTATTTTATTATCATTACTACACAAAACACAATTAAAACCTATTTCATCATAAATTTGAACATTTTCCTTTTTACAGTGTAGTATATTAATAATTTATTTGCTTTTTTGTTCAGAAAATGCCTACATATATATGTGTGATATTATCAGTCTAACTGCATACACCAACAAGTGGTACCTTGTGATCATCTGGAAATGTCATTTTATTGTGATTGATATCTTTTTGTTTTCACACCATAGTTGGGACAGTCTAATTAAATTTAACACCAAATGAAAGTAATGTATCTATGATCTCATGTTTTAATTTTCTGTGTAACTTTGCCATAACACGGGAAGCATCTGATGCCTACATATGCTATGCCTGGATCTGATGATGATACTTGTTTTATTTTTCCTAGGTGCTGGATGCATCGGTGGATTCACTTATCTGGCAGCTTAACCTGCTCTAAGTATGTTCCATCACCAGGATGATGCAATGATAAACAATTTATTCTTGAAAATCACCATAGACAGTTCAGCATGAGTGCATTTCATTATCCAATAATGTCTGTGTCAGATTGATAAAGCACTGACAGAGAGATGTCGAGCCTTTAGTTTGTTTTTGCATCATGATATGGCTGTCGGAGATCTTGAAGTAGCCAGATTTTTGGTACAAAATCTATCTTTGCCTTCAGAGTCCTGGATGTGGCCTCCATTCTATATTTGTGTGCATTTACCAGCTTCAGGTCACCTTCTGTTTAGATGAACCTAAGTATAGAAACACTGAGTGGAAGTGAATGAAAGCAAACCCTTTTAACTTGTGCTTTTGCTGAAGGATATTATTTAAACCGAGTACTTTTTAAAATTTTTTTCTCTGTACATGCACCACACTTGTGTGAGGGTTCGTTCCCAATGCAAGTATTGCTCTATGTGGATCCATCCAACTCCCCAGGGTGCTGAATGCAATCAGGTTAACAGATTAACATGCCTCCTCCTGGTATGGAGTAGAATACAGAAAAGCTGGTGATAATACAAGTATGTTGGAAACAATAGGAGGCATGTTGATCTATTCATCTGATTGCATTCAATGAGTCCCCATGGCAATGAATCGATCTATGTTGAACAATAGTTTCATGGGAATGAGCCCTTAGTAACCACTGTAGCTAGTGTGTATGGACCCTGGTGTACCCCTGATCCCACCCACTGAGTCCTGTGGTCTATGTTAAAGAGGGCAAGATGCTGGATACCATTTTTGTTGTTTTATCTTTTTTTTTCTGTGACTGTTTTTGTCCTTAACACGTCTGCACAAAATTTCAGACAAAACAAATACCATATTGTGAAAAAACTAATTTGTTGGAATAAGAATACAATAGAATTACATTTACTTTAGAACAATGTTTAGGATAAACTTAGTGGCAGTGTGTAACAGTATGAGGTACTTTCTGCTGATCTAATTATCCAAAAACCAAATATACGAACTCCCAGGTGCTAAGTGTCTTTATGATGCAGTCTGCGCACTTCATTAGATTTACTTTACACTTATATATTATAATTTTACTACTCTGTCACTCTGAAAATGTCTGAATTTTTCATTTGGTCACAGATTCTTACAAAAGATAAATTTTATCAGTAAAGACTAAACATTATGACAGGGGCATATCCAGTGATATTTTCTGACAGTCTTTCAAATTATCTTTGCTGATCCATCCTCCTTTTTTGACTGTCTTCCAATAGAAAAAATTAGATACCTGTCAATGTAAAGTTGAAAATCTAACCATCTTCTGGAAGACCCAGAAAATTGCCATTACTCTGTAATGTGTGTTTTACTAAACAAATAGTTGGGGCAGAAGAAAGTGATTGCATCTCAAAATGTGTTTGGATGAGATCATTGTGGTAGTTGAGATGTGATACCACAGCAGCAATCCAGAACATCTGCTCTGTGCTGGACCTTTTTTTTTTTCTTTTCAAAAGTAAAAGCACATTCATCACTATCTGGGCTTTAACTAGAACCTTTAATAATAATAATTACAATTAATATAGATATAAGTTGGTGTGATGCTGTATGATTACAGATTATATGTTGAAGATGGGCAGTGTTCAAGTGTGCCAGATGTGTACATCAACCAAAGTGAGTCTCTCCCAAGGTGCTGAGAACTTATGAATTTTAAAAGCTTCAAAAACTACATACTTATATTCTAAAAATTACTTTTAATACATTTTTTCTCCCATAAAATAGTGCTATTGCAGCTTAAAGCACCCCTTCATTTATAGAAGATCAAGGCATATAAAAGACTTTGTGAAAATCAAAACATTTCAGCTTGATGCTTCTTACAAGATGATAGTGAATGTAATGTTTGATTATTTCAGATTGTGTCCCTGATATAAGCAGTTGCAGATGTAGCCAGAAGTAAGATAAATACTAACAACCTACACCATGTAGTCAAAGTTGGCCGATTGATTGCCCTCCTGGTAGGATAACATGGGCGAATTAAAGCCATGAAAGAAGATGGTTAGAATTTTTCAACTTTACCTTGACAGGCTGCTTAATTTTTCTGTTGGAAGACGGTCAAAAATGGAGGATGGATCAACGAAGATAATTTGGAAGACTGTCAGAAAATATCACTGGATATGCTCCTGGATAAGTACATGTCTACAGATCACAATAGTACCAAGTCTCGGTTATTTTATTTATATATTTTTCACATTATTAAGCATATGATATCAGAAATCACCATTGTCACCAGCAGATCAAGGATATCAAGCAGGACTAAAGCATGCTTCTGAAGAATATAGTGTATGATGGAGCATTTTCTATCTTTCTGTGATTATGTTTTATGAATATTTCATTATTTAGCTGTACAAGTAAAATCTGGTAAACAGATGAGAGGGTGATAACTGAACTATGTTGAAAGAGAAGTAAAGTTAATGTAAAATTGCAGTCAAGAAGCAAGCATCATTTATGTTATAGTTACCTATAAATGTCCATTTTGTTCTTAATTTTGACTTATGGAGAAATAAAACATGTTAAACTTCCATTTTCTTTTCATTTGCAGGTTTGTGTGCCTTGCTATCTGTGCTTTGTGTCTGAATTTTAGCTGGGCCAAAACGGTGACAGGACAAGGTCATTTTGGAGGTCCTGAATTAGGGTCAAGCACATTAGCACTGTATAACAGACCATTTTCAAAATAAATGGCTTAAAGGAATTTAAAATGTCTCTACTACTTACCACATTTGAAAGTCTAAATTACTGTAGTAATTTATGTACCAGTTATTGGAGAGTTGAAATTAATCTTAAGGCAAAATGGAGTTTCAAACAAGCACAAAACCATGCTTAATAATAAGAAAACTTTGAGACAGGCAGATTTGTACATAAATATTGGGTTATATTTTATTTTGGAATTCTCAACACAGCCTTCTTACATAAAATAATGTAATATTTTATTGATATGAATTTTAATCTTCTAAAATATTGAAAATCTAGAAAGGCAGTCTCATTCTCTATTTCAGTTGTCACAAAAACACTTGTTTATGTCAGACTCGATTACAATCTCCCTTAGTAATTTATCAGTTCACCTAGCTCTGTGTGCTGAAAAGAATAATAAGGATACAACAAACATTGAATTTCTTGAAAATTTCTTGAAATAAGCTTAGACTTTCAACAAATCAAAAAGTGACAAACATGATCATGTGGAAAAAATGTTCTTCTTCAGTACACAACAATTCCTTCAAAAAAGTTTCAAGGCATGCCACTGTCTGACCAGGTTATAAACCGACTTCTGTCACTAAAAATGAGGGATACTAAAAGAGATCAAACCTGGCTTCTTTCTATATAAATTTGGATTATTCTGTAGCTTATTCAACAACATGATACTGCAAGTGAACAAAGGCAAATAAGACTTGTGCTAAAGTGAACTTGTGCTTTTTTTGTTAGCAAAGCAGCTATACATGTCTAAATGTCATCAGATTAAACTTAGATTTCATAACCTAATTATACTTTGTAATTTCTTGAAACTACTGTGAACACGTAGTGTCAGTGAACAAGTAAAAGCTGAGCAGAAAAGCATCCGTGAATATTTTACACATAAAAATAAATTTAAAGCAAACACTTAGCACTGAAAATAACCCAATAAACAATTTTATGTCTAAAGTGAACTCATATTTTTATAAGCCACCAGAACACATTAATATACTGGAAGAGTGAATGTTCCAACTCATCCAGTAGTGCAGCAATAAGGTTTACAACTTTTCTTCTGAAAAATAATATATCCTTTTCAAGTGCATTGAAAATTCCTTTCAGTAACTCATCTTGACAATGCTGCCTACTCTACGCACCTTTACATCTTGCTATCTGCAAGGATGGGAATGAAAACCATAGGCGAAAAACCTATGTCAGTACTTGAGCTACCACAGACTGCATTGTTTGTATGGTGACTATATGATAGCCATATCACACACATGGAAAATCAAAAGGTACTACCAGTATCTTTACAAAATGCACTCTTGTTCCCTTAACAATCCTTCTCGTAGGTAAATAAAAATGATTCTAATTAACATATGGCAACATAAAATCATTGCATTTGGAAAACAGAGAAGATACACAAAGAGACAGTAACAATGTGAAGCATGCACAAGGCTATAAAACCATTGTAGTTTCCTACAATTGCTATATATGGCATTAAACAAAATAAGCATATGGCCAGCTATGATGATATACAATTTATCTTTAACCTATTCTAATCTTAGACTGATATAAAATTACTATATTCAGGCATTTTCAAATTTGATACTGTTGGAAGGCTGATCTGTATTCTGTGTTCCATTTTTATTATAGACATACTGTAGTCTAGGAACACATAATGGAGGTAACTATGCAGTAAAACCAAGAGGACCAATGACTTTTTGGTCCTGAGAATTTTTTCTTTGGAGAAAATACCCTGATGACATGCGTAATGCAAAACTAGATGTAATTCTTACTATACTTTTGTGCACTACCTTTAAAATGATTTTCCTGAATTTTTGTAGACAAGAAAGGAACCTATGTAGAGCAAATTACGTTCTGAAAAATGTGAACTTGAAAAAAATATATTTTGCAGTACAACACTGACAATAAATACAACATTCACACCCCTACCAATACTTTCCACAAAACAATCAAGCAAAATTGAGTTCAAATTCTTACCCATGCTTTCCATTGAAATACTGAACTCTTTTCCAGTGTAAGCAAGTAATACTAACTGTGAATTACACCCATTTCTTGATTCAGCAGCCTCTAAGTTAAAGATGAGAAATGAACACTTTGTAATAATATCAATTTGATCTTGTGTACTGCACTTTTTCAAAAATTAAAAAAAAAACTTTTCTCATCCACAAACAATCTATGAAAACCTGATCTGTGTAAACAATTCCTTCTTTTCAACAGGCAGTTAGTTAACTTTCTTCTTTCTTCCTTGACTTCTTGTTACTGGCCTGGATGAGAGAGTCCCTCTGCCATTTTTCTCTTTTTCAAGGGATGTGATTTTAAAACAGTATATATCCATGTAGTCACAGATTTGTACGCAGACGAACACAGAGTAACGACAAAGATCGACCAGGGTCCACAACTGCAAGAGAAACATAGCATTGAAAGGAGTCAAAAAAGCACAGAGAGAAAGATTGACAACTAATGGACAGTTTTTTATTAATATAACATTACAACACAGACCATCTTTCTCCAGGTGAGTGTCCATAATTTTAGACTATGGGTATGAATCGCACTGCACATAAATTTTAATAAAAGATTAGAACATTACCTTAACTATTAGAAATTTACATAATCATTGACCCAGTTGGACATTTTTTACTATAACTTCCCCAAATACTTACTAAGCAGAGCCATAGGACAAGATATTCATCTAAAATAGTATTGAAATATTGGTTGAGAAATAGCATTCCTGGGCCAATCATACTGGAATCCAGCATTGACATTGCACTTTTGGTCATATGAGCAACCTAGAAAGAAAAAGACAGCAAAGCTATCAAATGTACAGTGAAGTCCAATGTCAGTAAAAGAACTTTCTACATCAAAAAAAGTATCAGATGGAATATGGACTAATACTCTATCCTACCAAAAACTACAGACAAAATTAAGATCTATCAACCTGTTTACTAGCTTTCTCTTGCCAGCATTAGAAAATTTTTGGAATTTTGCTATGTTAAAGCCTAAATCTGGTTGTTTACCTATTAAACTGAAATTTTAAGCAATTCACTTACCACTAGCTTATTGGTCACCTTAGCGCCAGCTAACCCAAAGGCTATGATATATAGACATGGATGATTTTCAAATATATGTGTTGCTGATTTCTTGTAAATAGTATAGGCCATAACGAGGATTGTGCCAATAGGAATTACAGGTGATAAAACACTGGTCCCCTAAAAATTTAGAAGATTAATTAACAACAATAAAAACTTTTAAATAAGGCTTTTAATTCTATTATCTTATATGTAAGTCAATCCTCCATTGATATCAGTTTAAAAAAAATTTCTAGAGATTAAAATTTATTAATATTTTTTTTTTGTTTTTTTTTTTACAAACTATAACCACTGCCACTTCACTTACAGCAATTGTGGAACCATTTTTTCCTGCACCTCCTTCTAAAAGGATTATAGAAAAGCTTTCACTCATACTCAAGGTGGTCACTGCTATACTGCTTATGATCATAAGGTGTTTTAGTTCATAGCCAATTAATGGAACCTGAAAATAAAGAGCATAAAGAAATATTTTGTGATAACACACAAAAATAATTATGAATAAGACATCTAATCAACCTTATAAACATAAACTGCAATAAAAGGGACACAACTTCTACAACACAGCTCTCTGAACAACTTCTTGTTCCAATCCAAAATGTATTAATTAATGACTATTTACTTTGTAATTCACATTTAGTGGCACATTAATAAAGTAACACAGTCCCATACCTGAAATGCCCAGATATCATGGCCTACCACAGAGGTGGTGATATACACTACAATCATGACAATCTGTGCCTCAGTGACATCAATTCTAGGTAGTAAAAATAAAGAAATGGACATTTATTTACTTGCATCATTTCATCATGATGTTGCAATTCATGTAAATATCAAAATTGAGTCAGTGAGTCAGTGTAGACTGAAGTTGGATTGAGGGTGCAGTAAACTGGAAAAAATACATATGCCATCCTTTAGTGTTTTCCTCTACATATTTTCCACCAAAAATTAACAATGTATAAAGAATTGCAAGTCATCTTAATTTTTTTTACTAAAACAGTTGGAACTAGAGGATCAGAGAGGCGATACCGCCTCCAAATATTGTACCACCAGCTGGAGCAAACGCATTCGTATAGACCCCCACATACACAAAATAAGGGACACAGCGACCAGTTTTGTGCTTGACAAGCTGTAAAAATGCAATCAACAAGAATTTTTTAACTATTGCAAAAAATATATATGGTACAATCAAATTTAAGTTCTTCGTAAGGTAGGTCAAGGGTCAATTTCAAGGTCACAGTAAATTGCCAGTATATGACTTCCTATTCAAGTTCAAGAGTAACTATGGACCTATCTCTGTCAAGTTTGAAGTTAAAAGAGAAAGAAATTAGCAGAGTTCAGTTCATGATAAAAAGTAGGTCAAAGGTCAATTTCAAGGTCACACTTAGATTGCCAGTATAGGACTTCCTATTCAACTTCAATAGTAACTATGGACCTATCTCAGCCAGTTTTGGAGATAAAAGGGAAGCAAAATTTGCAAAATTCAGTTCATGGTGAAAAGTAGGTCAAAGGTCAATTTCAAGGTCACATTTAGATTGCCAGTATATGACTTCCTATTCAAGTTCAATAGTAACTATGGACCTATCTCTGCCAGTTTTGGAGATAAAAGGGAAGCAAAATTTGCAAAGTTCAGTTCATGGTGAAAAGTAGGTCAAAGGTCAATTTTAAGGTCACATTTAGATTGCCAGTATATGACTTCCTATTCAAGTTCAATAGTAACTATGGACCTATCTCTGCCAGTTTTGGAGATAAAAGGGAAGCAAAATTTGCAAAGTTCAGTTCATGGTGAAAAGTAGGTCAAAGGTCAATTTTAAGGTCACATTTAGATTGCCAGTATATGACTTCCTATTCAAGTTCAATAGTAACTATGGACCTATCTCTGCCAGTTTTGGAGATAAAAGGGAAGCAAAATTTGCAAAGTTCAGTTCATGGTGAAAAGTAGGTCAAAGGTCAATTTTAAGGTCACATTTAGATTGCCAGTATATGACTTCCTATTCAAGTTCAATAGTAACTATGGACCTATCTCTGCCAGTTTTGGAGATAAAAGGGAAGCAAAATTTGCAAAGTTCAGTTCATGGTGAAAAGTAGGTCAAAGGTCAATTTTAAGGTCACATTTAGATTGCCAGTATATGACTTCCTATTCAAGTTCAATAGTAACTATGGACCTATCTCTGCCAGTTTTGGAGATAAAAGGGAAGCAAAATTTGCAAAGTTCAGTTCATGGTGAAAAGTAGGTCAAAGGTCAATTTTAAGGTCACATTTAGATTGCCAGTATATGACTTCCTATTCAAGTTCAATAGTAACTATGGACCTATCTCTGCCAGTTTTGGAGATAAAAGGGAAGCAAAATTTGCAAAGTTCAGTTCATGGTGAAAAGTAGGTCAAAGGTCAATTTTAAGGTCACATTTAGATTGCCAGTATATGACTTCCTATTCAAGTTCAATAGTAACTATGGACCTATCTCTGCCAGTTTTGGAGATAAAAGGGAAGCAAAATTTGCAAAGTTCAGTTCATGGTGAAAAGTAGGTCAAAGGTCAATTTCAGTATCATATTAAGATTGCCAGTATATGACTTCCTATTCAAGTTCAACAATAACTATGGGTGTATCTCTGCCAGTTTTGGAGATATAAGGGTTGAAAAATTTGCAAAGTTCAGTTCATGGTGAAAAGTAGGTCAAAGGTCAATTTCAGTATCATATTAAGATTGCCAGTATATGACTTCCTATTCAAGTTCAATAGTAACTATGGGCGTATCTTTGCCAGTTTTGGAGATATAAAGATCAGAAGACTTGCAAAGTGCAGTTCATAATGAAAAGTAGGTCAAAGGTCAATTTCAAGGTCACAGTCAGATTACCAGTATATGACTTCCTATTCAAGTTTAATAGTAACTATGGGCGTATCTCTGATAATTTTGGAGTATTTCACATTTTCCCCACTGAATATTGCGATGTTGTAATTTTTGATATAGGGCAACGCCTAAACCATATCAAAAACAAAAAAATGGACACCACCCCCAGTATTGCACTTGACAAGGTCTACAAAATGCAATAAAAAAGAGGTCTCTGGCATTTACCATTCCAGATTTAGAGCGAGTTTTCAGTTTCGGTATCTAATGGCTGCTTCTCCCGTGAAAATGCACCGATTGACCCCAAACTCTCAAAGATGAAAGGAGTCCCCAATGGTAACCCCTCACTATAACAGGAGAGCTTAGGGCTGTGTAGTTTCCAAAAATTAGCACAAACAAATATTTTTTTACAGAAAATTCCCATTTTTAGAAAATTTTGGCTTGTTTGACCTTGAAAAAAAGGTCAAAAGTCAAATCCAAGGGCATATTTGGAATTTCCACATATGACTTTCGGTCAGACTTCTGTAGTAATTTTTCCCATAATTCCTTTGGTTTGGGAGATATTTAGCATTGAATTTTCAAAAATTTTGACAAGGGTGCATTTCAACAAGCGTCACGCCCAGGCCAGTGCACCGATGGAGACAAAAAAACCAGGGTGTTCAAGTTGAGATTATATGTGACCTAAATCCAAGAGATGGGGACACAGGTCCTTGCGGTCTAGGAGGAGAAGCGGTAACGGTGACTTGTTTCCGGCGCCCGACTGCGGAGCCGGCGGAGCTGCAGGAGCCGGCGGAGCCGCAGGAGCCGGCGGAGCTGTACGAGACGGGTCGGGACTAAAACCATGAGTACCGCCAGCGTACACGCTGGTGGTACTAATAACTATGGATAAATCACTCCCACCAAATAATGAGATGTAAAAAGCCTCATTAATTACAAAATAATGTTCAACTGTCTGCAGACATAACAAGACTATTTATCACATGGTATAAAAATTCAATTCATGATGAGATTCCTTTCACTACACACTAAACAAACAATAAATGGGACAAAAATGTAACCACATAAAACTTCACACTGGTTTTTTTCCTCACATTTTGAACATTTTGAACTTGATTTAATCAATCTCTTATTGCAAATATGTTTGCAGTCTGTATGTATTCACTAGTTGGCATTTCATCTTGTTATTTTATGTAACATGACAAAGTTCTTCATGATTCAGTTTGTTTGTAAATCAAAATATGAAAGTCAAATACCAAAGAAATACCATGTTGCCTTTAGAAAAAGAGCCATTTTAGTCTCATCAGCTAAAGCTGAGTAATGCACACTACAGTGCCTTCATTATGACTGAAACGATAACAACCTATTTTACTCATAGAAGAAATAATTGTGTTAAATACCAGCTATCTCAATCTTTCATCCAAATTGTTATAAAAATGTACCACTTAAAAGAAGATGACAAAAATATTTCTGACCAAAAAATTGCATTCTTAAGTAAAGTAGCAAAAAACTGATGTTGGTGCACTGTATAATACACACACACAATTAAATTTCATTAAATAAAGGAACTATGCACCTTTCCATTTCTAAAGTATGTGAATAATTCATAAAATCATCAGTATGAGACCTAACATGATATCTGCTAGGTGCACTGTAAAGCTGCCGTTCTTAAAACTTAATCTTCTGCTGCATGCAAGTCTCTTGCCTGGCGTTTTCTAAGATGGTGCAAGCCGTCACTCTCACCATCACACCTGGCGTCATCACTTTTGTTTTCTGGCAAGAGTATTTCTTCAACTTCATTTTCCTCATTCTCATCACTCTGCTGGTGTTTCCTGTAGGTTTCATTATTGTCCTGTTCTGCCTCTGTATCCTCTGACTCAGAATCAGACTCTGTCAGACTGTCCTCAATTCCCAGCTCCTCACTAAAGTTTGTCCTGTCATGGGACATATCTGCAAAGCTCAGTTCATCTTCTTCTTCCCGATCAAACGAAGCTCCCTGAGCTGAAATTTGATCCAATGCATTTTCCTCTTTTTGTTCCAGTTTATCAGCCATTGGCTCACACACGTCAGTTTCTTGGTTTTTGGACAAGTGCTCTGTTGATCCACTGTCTCCTGCACCTTGACTCATCTGGAAAATGCCAGCGAATATAAAGAAGACATCAATGTCTAATCAAATAGTAGATATGTCTTAATATCTGCATTTTAATGTTTTTCAATCATAAGGATCTGTTTTCCCACTTATAAATGGTTTCAAAGGGGAAAATTGGAAATGTTTGTTTTATACATTGTAGTTTACTATATAATAGAATTATTGTTATCATTAGACATTTCTTAATGACTGGAATTTTGAAAAGTAACCAACTAAATCATTACAAGGACAAGTCTCCACAAATATGTCCACAATATCTACTGATATCAAATTTGATATTCCCTGAAAATAAATTCACCACAAAAAAGCTAATCCCTACCAATGGCAAAGTATGTATATTCTGCTAGTCACAGCAGCAAGCCACTGATGTCTTTAAACACAAAATAGACATACCTGTGCTACAGTCTCACTTCCCACAGTGGTCATTTTACCCTGCACCTGCTTCATTGCATCAACTATTCTCTGCATCTGAGCTTCGGTTTCCAGTAGCTTCTCCTGCAGCTGAAGCATCTCATAGTCCGCTTAAAAAATCAGAATAATTTAAGAAATGCCAAACTATGTTTACTCTATAATTTTTATACCCTAACACTTAAGTCAAATAGATAAATTTTCTTTGTGCCAATCTAGAGTAATCCATTGTATAAAATTTCACAAAAATTTTACAAAAATTTTATCCTTGTCATATTCATCCAGTATCTTTTGAAGTAAACTGTATATTTTCCAAGGACAACCATCAATACATAAGACTAACTTTCAAAAATCCAACAACATCTACCATCATTTTAATTATGAAATAGCAGCTGCTCTCTTTACTTACATATCTTTCTTTCATCTGCCTTGTTTAGCATAATATCAAGCTCTCTCTGTCTCTTCTTTTTACGTATGTACTCCGCATAATCCTCATCTCCAACTTCATCACTATCCTCCTCAGTAAAACTCTTCAATTTATCCGTGTACCACACGTTGTTCTTTCTTCCACCACTCTTGCTGTCGTCTTTATTGAATATCTTAAAATACAAAGTGAAAACTATCAATAAAAGCCAGCATTCAATTCAACATATAGATACACGCATATCTTACAACTTAGGAAAATCCACTGATGACGACATAGCTTTAGAATATTTGTTTTAAAGCACACCTAATTTGCCTAAGCTTGTAAATTGTACAGAAAATTATTTAGTAAATGATGCTGACCTTCTGTTTTTAAGGCAAACTCTGTTATTAATATTAAATTTGTCCCTATCATGCATACTTACCTTACAAAGTGTATAGATGAGATATATCACAATGCCAATGGTGTACACAGGCAACATCATGGTGACCATGCCTCCTCTCCCAGAGCCCTGTGTCTCCATGGCTTGTTTACGCATCTCTGCTGCTGCCCGCATGCCTGGGTGGGGGGTTCCACCCTACAGAACACACACATAATTTACATTTCAAAGCTGTTGTTTTTACCACACCAAAAAAAAAATAAATAAATAAATAAAATAGAAGTAGTTAATTTGTTTAAAAAGTTGTTAATATCTTTACCAGTGGCAAATACAACAGCTTTTATAGTTTCTTCTAGAGTATAACCCAGCATATTAAATGATTTAAAGGCAAATGTGCCAACCTCTTTTTTATTATGGAAAATGTTAAATATCTTATTATCTTTCCTCAACAGTTATTTAGTTCAAAGTATTGATCTGGCAAAAAAAGAGTCATTTGAATAAAAGAAATTCATTCAAAGAGTGAGCCCTGATTAAAATTTCACTTCAAGCATTTGTATCATTATAAATAAGCTGGAAAATGGATTTTGTAAAAGATTCCTAGCATGCAATTTCATGCTTTAGCACTCCTATTTATGTTATCGACAGCACACATTATAAAAAATAAATAGGAGTGCAAATGCATGAATTTTTGTGTTAAAAGATGCCTGGCAACTGCTGCAAACAAATTGATAAATTAGTTTAAACTTACCATCATATGCCTGTCACTCATTGGCCCCGGCCTCATTTTTGGCGCATGTGGCATTCCATTTTTATCTACAGAAAATTAAAAGATATCTTGTTAACATCTTCCATTAAATTTATTCAAAGAGGAAAGTTTAATATACTGGTTACCAAATTTGGCAATGTGGGTTTTAATCAGTTGCAAACTTTGGTTCATACTGAGTGCGACGTTGTGCATTTTACCCATGTAACTTGTAAGACAATTAGTGTATGTTTTAAATCGAAAAAACCTGCAATCAGTTAAATTAATCATTGCGTTGTTTTCAAAAAAGTGTTGGACCCAGTTGAGAAGCTCAATCGTCGTCAGGCTGATCAAAACCCCAAGCTTCTGAGTGACACTGAAGAGCATTGCTTACCCAACTTGTCAGCGTTGGTTTTCTCGCCAAACCCAAGGGCCCGTTTGATCATGGGATGGAAAATCTTCGGATAAACAACAACTAAACAGCCGACTACGATGCAGATTACAGCTATCGACTTAGCATCCATCTTCAGTCGACTGAAGCTTTTTTTCCTATCAGATGCCTCGTTCTCGACAATCGTATTGGCTATGCATGTTTTGGGATTAAACGCCGGTAGCGAGGCACTTCCTTGGATAGTGCGGGAAATCGAAAAATCTAGGCCCACTTCACAAACATTATTCAAACTAACTTCCTCCAACACGACAGAGGTACTTTGTTCCCCTTTAATAGCCTTTTCAACTTAGCAATTACTGACATAATCATAAGGCAGGGTTTTTATTACGTATGATTGATTAATCATTGAGGCACAACCACGCGTGAGAAAACGAGATAAAAGATGGCGCTGTCCTTGAAAGAGCTCGCCTCTCTTTTAAGGTAACACTTTCTTCGTTATTTCGTTTAGATGTGCGTCAATTTATTTATGTCTAGCCACCATATGTTCATTTTGATTGAAGGGGACACCGTTATGAATACATATGAATAAATATCACGATACAGCATCCCACCATATTCCTAAAATGAAATGGTTCGCCAGGTTGATGAAATTAAAAATGCAACGGAGGGTTGTGTGCCACTGTGTGTGTTTGTGTGTGTGGTGGTGATGATGGTGGTGGTGGTGTGTGTATATGTGTGGTGTGTGTGTGGTGGTGGTGGTGTGTGTGGTGGTGGTGGTGTGTGTGTGTGTGTGTGGTGGTGGTGG